TGACAATAGCACTGTTTAACGGTATACAGAACGCTAAACTCTTTGGGATAGCATGACAAGAGCTGCTGAGAGCCACCACCACCCTAAGATGGCTCCTCTAGGGTTGCCATTCCCCAGTTGGGGGTGGTGCACCCCCTGGTTTTGCAGGTTCCTGCCCACCACTGGCCAGCTGGTTGGTAGAAGGAAATCCCCCCCACAAAAAACAGTGATGTCGTCAAAAATAAACGCGACATGCCTACGTCACCTGGAAGTGACATAGGCACGTCGGTGATGTTGAGGGGTAGCACTCTGTTTTTTGGGCAAAACTTTGTTTGAGGCTGAATTTACCATAGAGTTTTGCCCCAAAACCAGAGCATCATCACGACGTGCCTACGTCATTTCTGGGTAACATAGGCATGCTGCATTACATAACTTCCTGTGACGTGAGCATGTCAGGTGACAACACTTTTGGCTCCTGGAACATCCCCTCTAATCCCACCACCAGTGCTTCTGACAGACCTGGAAACCCTAGGTTCCTCCCTTATTATCCAGACACATACTCCAAACCATATGAAAATGTCTCCTATTGCTCGCTTTTAGCACATGTAACTGATAAGTGATTCTTTGTTTATTCCCACCCAGTAAATTTTTCACATTTTTAGTCCACTCTTCCTCCAAGGAGTTCAGGGTAGTATATATAGGGTCCCTGCTATATTATGTTCCTAACAGCCCTGGGTAGTAGGTTAGACTGAGAATGAATGGCCCAGCATCACACTTCCTTCTTCCCTACTGCTTGATAAAGAGTTTGACAATGTTTGAGAATTCCTTGCCCAGCTCTCCAGAGCAATCAGAGCCTCCAGAATTTATCCTCCTGCTGCGGTGGCTCAGAAGTTAAGACGCTGACCCCAGTTCAAGACCCCAGTGCCACGTGATGGAGTGAGCTCTTGTCTCTGGTCCCAGCTCCTGCCAACCTAGCAGTTTGAAAGCAAGAAATCGCAAGTAGATAAATAGGTACCACTTCTGTGGGAAGGTAACAACGTTCCGTGTGCCTCAGTGTTTAATCATGCCAGCCACATGACCACGGAGACATCTTCAGACAGCTGGCTCTTTGGCTTAGAAACGGAGATGAGCACCGCTCCATAGAGTCGGATTCAACTGGCTTTCAAGCAAGGGAAAGCTTTACCTTTAACCTCACTAGAAGCCCTGAGTATGCCTAAGGTTTGTTGGTTGGCTTTGGAATAATCTGTACACATCTACACTAGGGACAATGCATCCCTGCTCCTGTCCCCAGGGAACTTTGGGAACTGTAGTTTTGTGAGGTGAAGTCTAAGAGTACCAAAAGCATGTCATACATCAAAGGGGAAGAAGGAAGTAGTAACATTGTGACAAAAGAAGAATGTGTATTGGTTAAAATTTTCAAAGTGCAACAAGGGGGTTGAAGAGAGTTTGGGAAAGTGTAACATTTCCACCTGAATTTCCCACACTTCAGCCGAACACAATCCGCAAGATCCTTTGTGGCAAGACATGACCATTAAACCAGCATAAAATGGATATAAATCTGTAGTGTACAGAGAAGCCACCTTAGTTTACCAACTGGTACCTCAGGTGACCACTTGAGCTCAAATGGACTGGGACAAACTGTTCACTGTCAAAACAAACAGGACGTGAACAAGTGGCTTTTCAGAATATAATTTAACATCTCACCCCTCGTCCACCACAACATGCCAACAAGCAGAACCACAAGCATAAAATGTTAGCTGCATAATTACAGCCCCCAGTTGGATAAACACCCATCACTACTGACCATAATGCCCCCTCACAAGTGACACGTTAATTCAGACAACTGCTTCACTTTATCAGAAGGGAGAGTGTGAAACATTCTAGAGTGGCTTATGAGGGAATTTTGGACAAAAGGGCCTCATTGAAAGGAGATGGAGCAGAATGGAAAGGGCAAGGGAGACTGTGGGGAACAAAGAGAAGAGGAAGCCATTCACTGGATATTTTTATCCAATTACAAGTGAATTCAAGCAACCAAATGGTTTCCTACTACTGTGTACATGCAATCATGTTGTAAGTTGCTTATCTGTATTGCTGCCCCTGAATGTTCCCAGTCCCCTCCCTTTCTTGAATTTGATCCCTTATAGAAGCCTAGTAGGAGTTTCCTCATCACTATTATTACCTCTCACTGCATACCTCTCACCGCATTATTATTACCTCTCTCATAGCATACTGAATCCACTTCAAAGTGCTGGTACTTACCTTTAAAGCCCTATGTGGCCAGGGTCTGACTTACCTGAGACCGCCTTTCCCCACATATACCCCCAAGAGCACTTTGGTTGGTGATTCCAGCCCCCCAGGAGGCAAAGCTTGCTGCGACCAGGGCCAGATCCTTTTCAGTGGCAGTTCCTACTGGAATGAGCTCCTGGAGGAGATCAGGGCCCTGTGGAACCTTATGCAGTTCCGCAGGGTCTGCAAGACAGAGCTCTTCCGCCAGGCTTTCATATAGGGGCCGCCGCTACCACCACCACCAATGGTGGGGACAACGGGGTCGGGGCGGTCCCTGAAAGATCTGCCATAATCTTGCATGACACTGATACCGCTGGACTAGCCTTGGACCATCTACATGACAATATCACTCCCAATGAAATGACTGATACCATCATGAAATTATTCGGAGACCATCTTGTTTGCATGGAGCCCTTTATTCTTGTTTTCGTTGTTATTTAATGGTTTTATTGTTTTATCTTGTTTTTATGCATGGGCCTGTGCCCTCTTGTAAGCCGCCCTGAGCCCGCTTGCGGGGAGGGCGGGGTAAAAATGTCAAAAATAAATAAATTAACTTTATCAAATATTACGATTGTACTTGAGAGTACCACAGCTAATTAGGACTTGTCCTCTCTCAAAGATACTAGTCCATAATACAACATAATTGTAATGATTTACAGGGCTTCTGGTGATGGCGGCGCGCTAGAGTAGACTCACCTCCCGGACCCCTTGGGGGTGAAGCTGTGCTCCAGCCGAAGAAGGGGGTGTGCAGGCTTGTTACCCACCCAGGAACCCGGTTGAAGGGACCCTGGCTATGGAACTTCTGAGAGGTCGCCTCTTCGATGGCGGAATGCCGGAGAACTGAGGTGCCTCTCCGTTACGACGGTTCTCTGTGCTGAGAGACCGAAAGGACTTAAGCAACGCTGACTGGGGCAAGCGCAGGAGATCGAGCGTTTGTAAAGAGAATGTACACGAGGTCTGAGGACCGATTATGAATGTGAGTCGTTTAAGCGATCTTTAAAGAAAAAAGATAGCTCCCTGCCCTAACCTACGCAGCAGAGTTTAAGGCGAGTGGGGGAGGGACGCCTCCCATGCGCATGAACTTCTGAGCGAATGAGGGGGGGGGAGCGGAAGAAAAAATTATTAAAACGGTTAAAAAGTACTTACCAAGGTGTGTTTGAGCGTTTAAGCGCACATTCAGAAACTTTTAAAAAACTTGCGAAAGTTATAGCAAGTGGACAAGTGGACAATAGCAGAATCTTTGCCATGTTGACAGTTTCAGGTGGGTAGCCCTGCTGGTCTGCAGTAGAAGAGCAAGATTTTAGTCCAGTAGTGGTGGAGGGCCAGCATGGTGCAGTGGTTAAGAGCAACAGGCTCTAATCTGGAGAACTGGGTTTGGTTCCCCACTCCTCTATGTGAAGACTGCTGGGTGACCTTGAGCCAGTCATTATTCTCTCAGAACTCTCTCAGTCCCACCTGCCTCACAAGGTGCCTTATGGGGAAAGGAAGGGAAGGCGATTGTAAACCGCTTTGAGATTCCTTAGGGTAGAGAAAAGCAGGGTATAAAACCCAACTCCTCTTCTTCTTCGAGACCAACAAGATTTCCAGGGTATAAGTTTACATCCCAGGATATAAGCTTTTGGAGTCGAAGTTCCCTTCATCAAATACCTTCAACAGGTACCTGAAGAAGGAAGCTTTGGCTCTTGAAAGCTTCCACTCTGGGAACCTTGTTTGTCTTTTAGGCGCTACTGCACTCAAATCATTGTCTTTTTGTCATGTTGCTAAGTTTGCTCCCACTGACTACTGCAAGACTAGAAGGCAAGGAACCCCTTGGGAGGTGTTAGCTGCCAGTGTGACATCTGCGGCGCGGCAGAGATCAAAAGGTGGAAAAATCTGTTTTGGCATTCCCTGCAGTGGAGCGAATCGGCCAGGCGGTGGCAGTGCGACATCGAGAGTCCTGACGTCATCAGACAGCCGACAGAATACATGCCGTCGGGACATGACTGATACAGCCTGCAGATGGATCCTCCGACCAGCTACAATGTGTGTGTGATTAAATATTGTACGTTGTCTTCCCTACCCCCCACGAATATATTGTTAGTCCATTGTCTCTGAGTAACTGTAAATCGCTCTGAGCCCGCACGAGTGGGAAAAAGCGATCAATACATTGAAAGTGTTATTATTATTATTATTTATTATTATGCCTGCCCTTGCTAACAAATGATACCATAATGAAATAAAACGGCAGGCTGCAAAATGAATTGTTGGCTTCGTGGAACATGCAGCAAGATTTGACCCAGAAATTGACCGGCATGCAGACCTTGGTGGTGGAAAGGGCCGTCAAGTCCCAGCTGACTTGGAGGGTTTTCAAGACAAGAGACGTTCAGAGGTAGTTTGCCATTTGCCTGCCTTTGTGTGGCCGCCCTGGTCTTCCTTGGCGGTCTCCCATTCAAATACTGACCAGGGCCGACCCTGCTTAGCTTCCAAGATCTGATGAGGCTGGGCTAGCCTGGGCCATCCAGGTCAGGGCATGCTAACCCTAGGGGGAAATGAATGGTCTTTGACGAAGAAATGCCATAGGGAGAACTGAAATAGGAAAAGCAAGCATTTGTTTCTTGGTTTCAACATGTATTTTATTTGTACCAAGTAGATTCTTGAGCAAGAGCTCAAGTCCACCAGACTCAAGACCAGTACTTCGACCTGATGATTTTATGGAATGGAAAGAAAAGATGTTGGCAGAGCGGAGTCCTATACTTTCAACGTAACTCCATCACCTGCTGCTTGTCCTGCCAAAGGTCTTCTTCATCATCTGTATGACCATCATATAGTCTAAAAAAATAATTTAAAAAGGTTCACTCGTTTGTCTCCAGAAACCCAATATCAAGCAAGGTTGTGATACAGATTCATGATAAATTATGTGATAACAAAAAGACAAGCAAATATTGTAGCTCTTTGTGGGCTAGTATAATCATGGAATAAAAGTGAAAAGGTAAAGGTTCCCTTGCTCGAAAGCCACCCGAATCCAACTCTAGGGTTGCGGTGCTCATCTCCGTTTCAAAGCCAAAGAGCTAGCGCTATCCGAAGACGTTTCCGTGGTCATGTGGCCGGCATGACTAAACACCAAGGTGCAAGGAACGCTGTTACCTTCCCACCGAAGTGGTACCTATTTATCTACTTGCAATTTCTTGCTTTCGAACTGCTAGGTTGGCAGGAGCTGGAACTAGAGACGGGAGCTCACTCCGTCTTGCGGCACCCGGGTCTCGAAATGCTGAACTACTGACCTTCCACAGCTTGCAGTTCAGCGTCTTAACCACTTGAGCCACCGCAGCTCCAATCATGGAATAGCTACCCATAAATTATTTTTTAGGCGGGAAAGTCCCAATTCCTGCAGACTTTTAACCAAATACTGAGCAAATGCACAAAAATAAACACACACAAATTTCCTGCACAAGATAACATGACTAATACGTAATAGGAAACAACTACATCCCTGCAATTATCTTTGATTCACTGAACACATGAACACGAACAGCTAATTTGAGTAAAACACAAATTAATCCCTGTTTAACCACCAAAACAATTTTTATTGTGCAGACCTACATCTTTATGGATGTATCAAACCATTTCTCACTTCATTTTTAAGGGTTCCACCCAAAAGGTGACATTCTGTTTAGAAGATCTGTCCACAGGAAAGCCAGTGAAGTGTAGAGACTAGAGCATCAGAGCAGGATCTGGGAGACCTGGGTTAAAAATCACCACCCAGCCATGAAGCTCACTCGTGAAGTCAAGACCTCACCACTGTTAAAGTGGGATGGAATCTCCTTAGTGAAGGAGGATTACCCCCTACCCAATAGTCCACGCCACACCAGAGATTCCAAGTCCCCAGAAGAAATCAGCAAGCCCACCATGCAACAGCAGCCTCTATAACAACATAAGAGAAGCCAATGTTGGATCAGGCCAGCGACCAATCCAGTCCAACACTGTCACACAGTGGCCAAAAATACCAGGTGCCATCAGGAGGTCCAGCAGTGGGGCCAGGACACTAGAAGCCCTCCCCCCACAAACAACATAGAGGATCACTTGCCCCAGACTGAGAGTTCCTATCTATACCTTGTGGCTAATAGCCACTGATGGACCTCTGCTCCATATGCTTATCCAATTCCCTCTTGAAGCCGTCCATCCTTGTAGCCGCCGCCACCTCCTGTGGCAGTGAATTCCATGTGTTAATCAATCTTTGGGTGAAGAAGGACTTCCTTTTATCCATTCTAACCCGACTGCTCAGCAATTTCATTGAGTGCCCACAAGTTCTTGTATCGTGAGAAAGGGAGAAAGAAAGTACTTCTTTCTCAACCTGCTCTATCCCATGCATAATCTTGTAAACCTCGATCATGTCACCCCTCAGCCATCGTTCCTCCAAGCTAAAGAGCCCCAAGCGCTTTAACCTTCCTTCATAGGGAAAGTGTTCCAACCCTTTTATCATTCTAGGCCGCGGTCACACGGAGCATTAGGCACGCAAGAGGGACGGAAGAGAAGTGGAGTTTCCGGGCGCGATCTCACCGCAACATCTGAGGAGCGTAGAGCTCCCGTGGCTGATCCGTGGCTACCGTCGGAAGAAGCGCAGTAAAAAACTAGTACCTCCGAGGTACTAGTTTCCAGGAACTGCGCAGCAAGGGCGGGCGCCTGATCGCGTCCCTGCTGGGCTTCCGTGGCATCCGGCGCCCGCCGGATGGTTCCCTCCCCGCCCCCGAAGCGCTCAACAGCACATGCGCACAAAGGCGCCCGGCATCGGTAGGGTCGAGGGAGGGCCACGGGGGGCTGCGATGGGGGTGTGCGGCAGCGGCCAGGCAGAGAGGGCCGCGTGTCCCGGGGGGAGGAAGGGAGGGCAGGCAGGATGCTGGTGGGGAGGGGGGACCTGGCGTGTTACTCCCCCCTCCCCTCCCCTCCTTGTGAGCGGCCCATGGACCCTGCCCAGAGTGGGCTGTGCACGGCCCTCCCAGAGGGGGCGGCTCCTTCTGTCCCCTTCCCATCGGCTCTTGCTGGAGTTGCGGATGCTCGTGTGATCAGCACCTCCACCTAATCCACGGGACCTCGACGGAACCTCACCAGGACATCTGATCCCGCTGCCGCGAGGTATGTTGCCTTGGTGCAAATAGCCATGCTCCCTCCCCGCAGTTTCCTGCCCGTGTGACCGCAGCCCTAGTTGCCCTTTTCTGCCCTTTTTCCAATGTTATATAATATCTTTTCTGAGGTGTGGTGACCAGAATTGCACACAGTATTCCAAATGAGGTTGCACCATCGATTTATACAGTGGCATTATGATTCTGGCTGATCTGTTTTCAGTTCCCTTCCTAATAATCCTCAGCATAGCACTGGCCTTTTTTATTGCAGTCACACACTGTCTCGACATTTTCAGTGAGTTATCTACGGTTCCAAGATCTCTCTCGGTCAGTCTCCGCCAGTGCTATCTAGGGAGGCAGTGCAGATGGAGAACCAGGAACCCACGGATTGAACCTCATCTACCTCCTGAACCCTAACAGTTCCCTACTCTGGGGCCCCAAGATCTAAAATGGTGGTGCAAGCATGAGGAGGAGGAGGAGGAGGGTATCCAGTAACCTAGCACTGTTCATGATGAGGGTACAACGCTGAGTGGGCTCTGGTGTCCAGAACACGGACGGTCTCCTTGCTGGTTTCTCAAGTTCCCAGTTCCTATGCATGGCTCCCTCCACTGATCTATTCTCAGTTGCCAGCCTATGATCCCCTTCCCCGAGTGAAAGTGCTAGGATGTTTGGAAATGGGATATTGGGTGACTTTAGGCCTAATCTGTCTCACAGGACACTGGGGCTGCGATCACACACACAAAATAATCCACTTTCAATGCACTTTCCAACTGGATTTTCACTGTGTGAACTGGCCAAATCCAATTCAAAAGTGCCCTAAAAGTGGATTATTTAGTGTGTGTGATCGCCGCCTGGGCGACCTTTTAAGCTAAATCGATGTCACAGAGCTGTTGTTAGTCAGCTTGTCGTGAAAGCAAAACGGAGAAGAGGACAGCCACGTTTATGGCTCTGAGTTCTTGGGAGGAAGGACAAATAAAATTGCGATACACAGACAGGGAACTCCTTCCTTGAATGGAATATGCCTAATTGAATCAAAGGGTACGTAACTTCATGTGCAAAACACATTTTCCTTTAAGACCCCCCCACACACACACACACCTACACACACAAGAAGTCCAAGAGAAGGGAAGCCAGTGGACATTATACTGAGGAAAAGAACCTCCAGAGACTAAAACCAGGTACAGCCTATGCCCAGAGATCAACAGAAAAGATAGTAAGAAAATCGAGCTTCCGGTTTATGGCAACATGCAGGCAGACGCATCTCCTGGCGTCCCGGGGATGCAATCTGCACACCAGCGTGTAGGAGGGGGTGCGATGGGTTGCAACCCCCCCGGAGCCTTGCTAAAAGGCTCGTAGCGAGGGGGCTTTTGAGGGGCAACCTCTTTGCTGGGGCGATGCTGGAGAATTGAAGCGCTCCTCCGCTCCGAAGGTCCTGCCACTGAATGTGCGCATGGACGTAGCGTCGCTGACCAGGACAAGTGTTGGAGATCGGGCGAAAAAACCGATGCCGAGCGAGGCTGGTTGGCCGGCAATGAACTGTGAGTCGGGTTGAAGCGAGCATGAAGAATAAAAAAGAAAGCTGCCCCCCTAAATGAGTGTTGGAAATCGAGCAGGGGAGGGGTCCCTCCCAAACGCATAGACGAAACACGGAAATAAAGAGGGGGGAGCGGAAAATTAAGCCCTTAAGCCTGTTTTAAGAGACTTACCAGAGCGCAGATAAGTGTTTGGGTGAACATCAGAGACTTTAGCAACTTTCTGAAAAGTAAATAAATCCAAAAAGGTGGTGAGGAAGAAAGCGGATAAAGAAAAACGGAAGATTTGTATTCACTTACCGTGAAGCTTCCTTCTCGGTGGTCCAGAGTGGGGCAGTCCTTGACTCCTTACTCCTGGGAAAGCACCTCCCCCTTCCATAGGCAGGGCCGGCAAACTTTGATCCCAGAGGGGAGGGGCTTATTCTCTGATCCCCAGTCATACCGAAAGCCACCTCCGAGCTGCTGTAAATACACTTAAAAAAGAACTCCTTCCCCCTCAGACAACCAGGGAATACCATCACAGCCACGGGCTTAAACAAATACAAACCAGTATTTTAACCATTAGAGAAAAGAAACAGCAACAGTCCGCCACACCACGTAATCATTTAGACCATATTCACGAACAGCTGAACAACTGCAAAACATAAAGGACCGGAAGTCATGTCCAACAAGAGAGGGTGGGTAGGACTGCCCCACTCTGGACCACCGAGAAGGAAGCTTCACGGTAAGTGAATACAAATCTTCCGTTCTCCGGTGGTCCAGGAGTGGGGCAGTCCTTGACTCCTTACTCCTGGGACGTAAAAAAGCAGCGCTCCCCCCGGGTGGGTCACACAACTTCCGGTGCCTACAGGGCCTGAAGGAGCCCTCTACTGTCAAATACTGCTTTTGCCAAGGCTAGTTTGTTAATCCTATAGTACTTTGTAAAGGAATGGACAAATCTCCGTGTCACCACCTTACAAGTGACTTCTAGGGGTGGCAAGGCCCTATATGCCACCAATGTGACTGCCCCCCATAGAGTGCCCTGTGACCCCTACTGGAGGTACTAACCCCTACACCTTGTATGCCTGACTGATCCTTATCCTCCTGCTCAGGGCAGAAGTGGAGACACTTAACTGACTAACAAACCCAAACAAGGATTCAGTCTATCTCAACCCCCTGGTCCTGTCCATATAGAAAACTC